ACGGACAACAACAAGCTGTGCTTGTGTGTTGCCGCAGCTGCCACTACAGATGGAGGGAACTATGGACGGGCTACGTACATATGTATGCCACCAATCATTCATGATGTTTCGTAAGGTATGACGTACGATGTGAGGACCGGGCAACAGCGGCAGGCCTTTATCAATAGAGCGGCAACATGAAACACCAGATAGCCATGGTTGGTTGTTGTGGGCACGCATTCTGTTAGTGTCCGCAGAATACATACTTCAGTATATATGTACACATGTAGATCCGTGCCAAGAAGGGCTTCGATTTTTTTTTTTTTTTTTTCTTTTTCGACGTGCATACAGTACACATGCACCCCCGACATCGAAGTGTGAACCACCAGTATGGTACGACCAGACCTTCATCGTAGTCTTCTAAAGAGAAGCGCGTGTAGCTCGTCCTCAGATGCACGAGAGGGCGTGAGGATTCGCACAACCTAACAACAACAACAACAACAACAACAACAACAACAGAAATGTGCCCCCTTTTTTTTTTTTTTTTTTTTTTTTTTTTTTTTTTGAACACTTTCATCACTTTCAACACTTGGCATATTTTATAGAATATTGAATATTGAGCAGCGCACCTCTGGTTTTGCGTGCGCTCGAGTCAGCAGAGCGATCAGCTCGCGGTCGTCCATCTCGTGCGGGCTCTCCGCCCTCCCGCTGCTGTCGCTCGGCCCCCCACTCAGGTCAATCTGTGCTTGCATTCGCTGCGCCAGCTCCGCATCAGATAAGTACGTCGCCGGGGCGGCGGCCGGGGCGACAGCAGCCGCCGGTGGCGCTGCCGTCGCGGACCGCGCCGCCGAACCTCCGAAGTGAGCAGGCAGAACAACGTCCTCTACTGCTTCCAGCAGCACACAGCCTTCTGACTGCAAGAGGCGGCCATGGCGGAGCGCGAGTTCCACCGTGTACTCGGCCAAGAGCTTCTTCGCCTCGGCCTGGCGATAGGCAACGGACTTGTCGCCCGCCCGCGAAGTGGCCACCTTCCTGGCGCGCGCCAAAACTGCCGTGTAGGTCTCCGCCCCGGCAAGGGGCGGCAGCCGAGTGGCCACCTCACCCAAACGGAGGACCAACTCCTCCACAGTGCCCTGATCGCAACCGAGCCGGTTGCGGTCGAACACCCGCCCAAGGTCCAGCGTTGCCCCGGCTCCCGGCACCAGCGCCGTGTAGCACGGCAGAGCGTAGGCCGCCGTGGTCGCGTCCACAAACGCGGCCGTCTGGCGGTCGGGCCGGGGAGGCAGCCCAGGTGGAGGCGGGGAAAGCGGTCCCATCGGCGCGCTGGCAGCCGCTGGGGCCGCGGCAGCCGCCGCCGGGGCAGCAGCCGCTGAGGAAGAAGGCGCCGCCGCTGAGGAAGCCGTTGTAGGAGAAGCAGCCGCCGAAGCCGCCGCCGTGGCGCGCCGCGTGTTGCGAGGCGGCATGTTACGACTCTCGAATATATCCCTTCTCCTCTATAGCTCCGGCGTATTTCGGGAGAGAAAAGGGGGACTGAACTAGGTGGGGTCATTTTCCAACATCCTTTCTGGAATATCTGACTCTTCTCGATTTCGTTCCGAAATCTAGATGCGTCTCAAATCCGAGATTACTGTGGGCAACATGGGAAATCAAGTCGATAACGGTGTACGATACGCGGCACCATCTGGAGCAACAAAAAAGAAAGCGCCGACAACCGTCGCCCCCCCCGGTGCATCAATCCCAACCAACGGTCACAATGCCTTTGCAGTCATACGCGTCTACCGACTAACCCCGTAAGACTGGGCAAACGCTCGGATGTCCATCTGCCGTGCCGGTTCAGCGCGACACTGGTGCCCATCTCTCTCTCCCAGGGGTCGGTTTGGGAGTTTACAAAGTTTACATGATAATTTACGTGTGGAGCCCACTGGGTTCACTGCATGTGTGTAGGGTACGCCAAGGCCGGTGAAAAAACTGGGGCCCACAAGTTGCAAGTGCCGCTATTTGGGGGGTGATATACCCCAAAGTGCCGCTATATGGGGCGACACCCTCTACAGCGGCACTATGCCTCTATAGAGGGTCGAAATTGTGACAGGAGGTTTTCATGCCGCTATATCGGCAGTTCCGCTATTTATTGGAGGTGCCACTTGATCGGGGCACCTACTGTAGTCCAGTTTTCCAGAACAAATCAACTAATGGCCCAAACAGCAGTTTAGGCCGAAATGCCCAGTTGGGGCGTGTGCACGTTCTGTGCCGTTTGCTGGTCACTGGCGCTTCTTACCGCTGAGTTTAGAGTACCGGTTTGTAGCTGTGAGTACTACTACTGTAGGCGCCGTCTGTACGAATTGAAAAAGGGGTGTGCTCAGCTTATTTGTCGAGCGAGAGCACAAACACTCTCAATCTGATAATTCACCCAATCTCAAGAAAACCCGGTTGAATGCTGTTGCGATATGTATCGAAACTGTGGTCATAGAGGCAGCAATTCGCTGTCAAGGATGAGCCAAGTTAGGTGCGCACGAGATCTAGCCAGTAAAAGGGTTGTATTTACCAGTAGGCCGAGTCTTCTGCGGCCATGTGACACTTTGAATTATTCTCCAACACGCCGTGTATTGTAGGCGGAGTACTCGCAGATCGCAGCCTGCTGTGTTTGAACTTGCTTTTAGTATGCTGCCGCGATCTTCGAGGGCGGGGGTGGGCGCCGAAAGGGGCTCCGTACTGCATTTTTTGCGGGCGTATTATTTTGACGGCGCGCAGCACTGTGCAAGGACTAAAACTCAAATTCCCGAAGAAATTATTACACACACCTGCTGTGTACATTCATTCGGCGACCTTGCTAGCCATCTAGACCGCATCTAATATAAGCGAAAATAACCTTGTCAGGTGGCTGGTGCTGGTTTTTGGACCTTTGTAAGGGCTTTACTTTACAGGGTAAGGGTTAATGTTCAGGTCGGTGCTTGACAGGATGTCGAGGTCTGCAAGGTGCCCAGCCTTGTGGCAACGCGCCAACCATGTCAGGGTAAAGTTAATAGGTGCATCTTGTGCGCCCAAGTTATTTGTTATGTTGGTTGTTGTCTCCAAGTTGGACCGCTGCTGAGAGTTTTTTCTGGCTTCCCCGTGCTGCTGAGCCAACATCCGAGGCCCGATCCCGTGACTCCTGTGGCGACAGAAAACTAAACTACATAAAAACCGCGCCCGCCCCCAGGAGAACAGTAGAAACAAAAAGCCCGGGAAACTACGCAGGAGGGATCGCCCACACGTGCAGGGCAATTATCCTGTAAAACACACGAGAAAAGCTTGTACCCGCTTGTACCCGGCCCCAAAGCTTTTTGCGGGTATTTCTTCGCCAACTCTGTGTGTCACAGAGAAGCATCTCCTCTACCTCGCCCCTAAGTGACGTGAATCGACCTATATATAGAACAACACATTTACACAGATCATGTGGACTGGTGGGGAAAGCGAGGTTGCTCTGGACGTAAGGTTAAACGACATCCCACACCCGGTGGCCCCCCGCCACATCGATCCATGAAAAAAAATACACAATGAATACGAGCACAGGGAGATCGACATGCACGCATGTGGCAATACCTTTTACCTTGACTTGATGAACAAACGGTAATAGCCCCCCACACGGCGGTGGTCTCACGAAGAACAAGCGAGACAAAATGCGAGCTCCACCAACGCGCACGTGACATGCCATCAATAGAAATGAACATCTCTCCCCACAGCAACTCTGAAAGCTGTTCGTGAATGGTACAGACGTCCTTGTGTGCGCCTCAGAGGCCAAAGAGTGTTGTTGACCACTTGCCTTTAGATCGTAGAGGGGACCATGAGAGGAAAGGAAGAGGAAGGAGAAGTGGCCATACGATCTGCCGTACACCCCACTCCCGTTTGGTTTTAAAAACGACAGCAAAGAAAACAAGCCGGGGTCTCCGGTAGACCAAAGATACCGCTCGACTCAGCGTGCGGGTTCAGCCCCCGAGATCTTAACCATCTGGGCCTCCCACCCGGCGGTTCCTCGCTGCCACCCTTGACCGAAAGGGAAGAAGTCATTACCCCTGTGACTTGCGTGCGAGAACTGTGACTGCCTGACTGTGCTAACAGAGATTGGGATTGCGATTGCTTTTGGAGTCTTGCTGTCTCACCCATGTATCAGCCAGCTGTAGGTAATGTTAATATGGCTTGAGGAACTAGCTGATATCTGCGTGACGTATCCTTGAGTAGACGACGAACACATATCAAATAAACAACTCCCTCTTTGTTTTTGTCCTGGAACCGATGTTCCCAGGTTGTAGCAGGTGATTGCATTGTCGGCAAGGGCGCCATGGTGGTATGGACTACCACGAGTTTGTCTGTTGGCGAGGCCAATGCGCTGATCACGGCCGTATCCATGGTGGTGTGCTACTCCATGTCGCTCATGCTCGCTTCCGTGTCTCTCGAGATCCGCCGTTTCATGATTGTCCGGGGCAAACAAGACGCGATTATTCAGGATGAAGATTTTAAATCCATGTGGGACGTGTTCAAATCTTCCAAGACGAGGCGATGGACCACCTTGGCCGTCCTGCCGGTGCTCTTGGGCGGTGCCGCTAGCATGGTCATTGACTTCACAACGTCTGGTGTCTCGGCTTCGATCGGCCACACGGAAGGCGCAGAGGTGCCCGTCTTGGGGTTGGTGGGTAGTGACGTGAGTGACATTCCGTCCTTTCCCACGATAAACAGTCTCGTAGAAGCTGCTGAAACCGGGACCTCGATGGAGACGGCTTACTTGACGCTGCTCAGCTCGGATCTTGCCTCGATCGGCTTCGGCTCTAACTTTTCTGACGTTGAGGTTAGGCACGAATACAAGGTAAACCCTGTGGGAACCGGATCGGAGCAAGGAGTCTACGTGTTCGGCAACAAATACGACACCCCAGAAACGGTCGACATTACTTTCTGCGTAGAAGTTTCTGAAATTGAGGGCGACGCATTTGCGATCAGCGAGTGCAGGGAGGGGTTGATCGTAGACAAGAGTGTGAAGTCCTTTTACGTTAAATCCGTTATCACGGGAGTGATCGTTGACCTCCAAGAGTGTTCTGTCTTGTACGTCAGCATCCCTCTGGGAAACCAAGGGGTCGGTATTGTCGAGAGGGACTTCACGTTCGAGGACACTGATGGTACAGAGGTGGCCGCGGCTGCTACATGTTCTTCGATTACCGAGTCCATCATCGAATCCTGCGTTTGGGAGAGTGGTGGGATTTTATACTTCGGGGACTGGAACATAGAGGGTGCCGGAGAGTGCGGGGAAGTGGAATTCCCCCCATTCATGTCGATTCTTGCCATCGATTACGGAGAAAGGGTGGAACAAGGAAACGACACCGCCGCACTACTCGCGGCCATGACGGCGGAAATATTCGCAGGGACTGGGTTGTTGACGTCAAGGCAGCAGCTCGTCGACGTCCTCGGCGCGATAGTCAGATTAGAAAGCATGGCGTGGGATGTACAGACTGCCTACGATCCCTTGAATGTGGTGGAAATCGGTATAAGTGCGTGGGTGCCTGTTGTGCTGCTCCTTGCGCTAGTGCTGCCAGCCATGGCGTGGGGATTTGTCAAGTGGCACATTCGCGGCAAATATTTCTTTTTGCCCGTGAGCCCGGCGGAGTGGAGCGCGTGCGCTGCTCGGGAGCTGAGCGAACTGGGCAAGGATGGGTCCCGTTCGTCGGGGACCGCGAAACCACTGGACGAACACTACAGCAAAGTGTACGCCTTCGGATCGGTAGTAGGTACGGACGAGGAGGGTGAAGGGTCACAACAGCGCTTGGGATGGATCAACAGGAACGCCGTCGCCCAGGCGGCTACTGGGAAACTCTCTCCATTCCGGTAGACTAGTAGAATAATGCGCGAAGGCTGTTACGCAGACGTGAACGTTGGAGTAAATTTAGGCAGGCCCAACCTTCGAGTGTTGGTCAGATGCGCTGGAGGGTAGGAAAGAAGTGGCGGTGGTGGGATCCTGTTGCCGCAGCTAAGCCATTAGTCTAATTTAGGTCCGGATGCAAAGCTGGTGGTAGGCGGGTTGGGCTATGTGCCGTTCGAGGACTGGGGTTCGGGTTGAGTAAAAGAGCGATCAGCTCTGCCCGTTGCTTCATCTTGAGCTTTTTTCTTTCCTGCTTTGGGAGTAGGGAGGTTGGCGGCGTGTTGTTTCCCGCCAGATATCGGCAATGCTGTGAAACGTGATGTGCTCGGAGCACGTTGTGTATCTGTCCACCCTATATTCTGGAGTAGCCCCAGTCCGGTCTACGTGCCATCTCCGTAAGAGGAAACCTCGTATGAAAGAGTACTCCTAAATCCCCAAACAACAGACGAGAACCAGCCCTAGCGAAAACATAACAATCCTCTTCGAAGTACTCGCAACTCGAAGTTCGCAATGCTTTACATTATTGGGCGACATAATTTAGCCATGACCGATCATGACCTTTCATAATCAAGCATGACCGGAGAAAAGAGGCAGCCTGACCGGGGAAGTGCTTCAACCACGACATTGATGGAGTACATTGGCCGCATAGCGTTGAGGTTATGTCGTTTGGGGAGAGCCTCAACCAGCCGATCGTGGGCGTTGATTGGCCCGAGTCGCTGGTGACGCTTCGCATAGGCTACGACTTTGATCGCACCATGCAGCAGGGCGTTGTGTTTCCGCCTGGGGTGGGTAAGGTCGAGTTCGTGGACAGCTACAGGCGTGTGGACGATCACGAACACGATGGGGATCGCGAGACTTCCAACTCTTAGTTCTTGTGTGTGTGTGTGTGTGATTAGTCGTGTTCTGGCATGTACTTCGTATGTAGAGACGTTGTTCTTTCTTCTTTTTGCCGACGGAACGTGGGCTAAGGTATACGCCATGCCATTTCATGTCGCGCCATATCATGTCTACTTTTATCCATCACAGATAAGGCAGAGGTCTAGTCGGTCAATACCGAGTGTTTTTTTTCCTGTCCACGAGTATGTAGTAGAAAACGTACATGCTGTAGAACGGTTGCAGGAAGGAGTATCGACACCGTTCTTGACGAAAAGCAAGCCCGGTTGCACCGGTGGCGAGACCCAGGCCTTGAAGTTAGCATATAGGTTCCTGCAAAGAAAGCCATGGTAAGGATCAACCTGATCCAGAACTTTGATGGGCGACTCTTCTGTGCGACACCGAGTCGGCTCATCATGTGGGTGTCGTCTTCCTTCTTCTTTCGAATATGGGAAGCATTTTTTGATACTGTAGTTAAAACCGTATGCTTTACATTTTTTGTGCCGATAAGCGTAGTTCGATGTACATCACATTGGCTATCTTATTAGCGGACGCTGTGTGACAATGGTTGCCGCGCACTCCGCGGCACCGATGTTGCAGATGGCGCGGCGGATTGGCAGAGTTTGGCATGCGCGGCGGAACATGTCGGGGCATTCTAAAAACAACATTTTTAAGCGAACATAACATGCCTGCCAGCGCGAATGGTTGCTCGTCAGGCACATAATTCGCGCAGAGGAGCATATGCTGCAGCGCCGGTAACAGCAATCGCATCCTGTTGCGTGCTGCTACCGTTTAGTTTCAGGGTCGCAGGTTTCGGCCGTGTTTTTGTAACGTAGCAGCAGCTGCTGCCCATTTTGCACCCAAATTCGTGCGCATAGAGCACATCGACTCTATGAGCGATGAAGCTGACCTGTCTGTTCGGTGCTGCCGTCATCGCTCCACAGCAGGTCCAAAGGGAAACGAATATTTGCCACCACACAACTTTTCATGCAGCTCACATTCAAGTTGGTTTCCAGACCCGGCATCCCAATACACAGCGACAGCCGTAGCTCCTCCAAAAACAAACTATCCCACGGCCCCTCCCACACAATCTCCCTCCCTCCCTCCCTCCAACGCTTTCCCAACGCCCTTTGTAGCACCACTGACGCGCGTACACGTGATATCAAAACCAGTTGGAGTTTTGGCCAACACCGGTCCTTCAACTTCTGCCAACAGGTTCGATAGCAAGCGCTCGGGCCAATACTTAGCTCTTCTCCAACTTGACGGGCTTGAACCCGCGGTAAAATTGGCGTCCATCGCTGACCATAGAGTCCAACCCCTTCTCGTTCTTCAAACCTGTCTGAGCTTTAGCATGTTCTCCTCGACGAGCCATCCCATCACCCATTGCCCATTGTACGCGGTGGACAAATCATCTCTGGTGTAGAATATATCAGGAAGAGTCCCGTCCTCGTTTTCCTTCACCAGCTCGAAAGGGAACTTGGTTGGGTTCTTGTTTTTTGAAAAAGAACTTCTTCTGTCGGGCATCGAAAAATTGCTGTTGTATTATTGCTCGTGGCCTAGGATCATTTAATCTAAGTATCGGATTTTGGATGAGGCCTCCAGCTCTGAGGCCGGCGGTCCCACGGATGCACTGCCGCGCCGACTGCAGTTGGCGCGGCAATGAATCTGTAAATGATCCTGAGGCTTTGAGCCTCAATACAACATTAGCTGCAGGGTGGGTGGGGTGGTCTCGAAATCATTTATTTTCTACCCTGCGTTCTCGCGTATTCACGGTAGGAAGAAAGACAATGATCGGCTGTATGCAAATTTCAACATGTTACCGGGACAGACGCCTACATCCATTTTCGTGCCGAATTGGAATTCGTTTGCAGATCCGATTTTACTGTTGTATTATTGCTCGTGGCCTAGGATCATTTAATCTAAGTATTGGATTTTGGATGAGGCCTCCAGCTCCGGCCTGTGGTCCCACCCATACTTTCCTTGTCCCGTCTTCTTCGCGACCACTGACCTGGAGCGTGGTTGAGCCCCAAACTTTCGTATATTCAGCTATGGGATTAAACCGGCGTACGGGGGGGGCATACGCTGCAAAGGCGGCTCCCAATGCCAGAGACAACGGCTCCTCGTGGAAAGCCGTATAGTTCGCCGCCCCCCCGCCGTGTGAAGGACGGCCCAATGTTTTGTAGTTCTTCACCACCATCGGTTCCGGTCTCTAACCCCCATCGGCACATCTCCTTTCGCGCTAAGCCGGGCGTGGGTATGGTCAAAGCCCTCCTTGCCCTGAAATGTTGCATGGAAAAAGAGGGCTGGTCGGCAGGCCACAGTTGCGCCTGAAGAGCCACCGTATCCTGGGCCGCAGCGCTTCAACATCCACTGCTATCATCATCGAGCACCGCAGACGCAAGCTGGCGGAGGATAAGCTCCACGCCACAGCTTGGCCCGCGTGGATGTAGCCCGCTATGGCTCTGACTGCACAAATGTCCCTAGCGGTGATCCCGACTAACAGCTGCAGTGCTGGTGGTGAATGTGAGGCTCGTGTTCACCGTCGGACTGGCACCAAAGGTTCTGAGCCCCGACGTAGAGTTAAAGTCGTCCCCTCTGCCAAGTTGCTCGTTACACGCCATGTTCAACTTACAGAAAGAGTCCTTGGAGAGCGACACGGCGGCAGATTGTTTTGCCCACGTGGTGCCGGAAGAACAAAACAGGCAACCGGGCGACTTCCACGCACGTGACATAATGCCCCGATCTTGTCACCTTCCCCGGAGAATCGACCAAGTAATCAACCTACCGCCTTGTTCCGGGAGGCGTGAATCCAACCGATGCCGTTCAAGCAAAGCGCGCATCAGACCACATCAGTGACGACGACAACGGTGTTTTGCTCCCCGCGGTTGGGGGATGTCCTCTGGCAATCCTCAACACAAGTTCGTCCGTGTGCGCCCGAATGATGTTAGACGCCCTTTCGACCGCATGCGCTAATATATGCACGGACGGGGGCCACCCCGCCAACAGGTGCACTCTGCACCAACACGGGAAACCCGCATACGGGCGGGTATCCATCTACAGACATAAGTGTATGGGTCAAGAGGAACATGACTTCTGACTTCGCACGCAATCATCGCCCAGTCAGGATATCGCCAACTCTTGAGGATGCCCAAGCCAAACAACACTCCGACCTCTGCCATGTGCGCGACCTCGACGGAGCGGGCTGTCGCTAGTTGTACACGGGGGACAACCTGCAAATTGTGCATGGTGAAATTGTGCATGGTGCGGTTCGTCGCCACCCGCAATTGAAGGAGTCTACTACCGACTGGATGCCGGCGTCGAACAGGACTCGGTGCGTCGGAGATGATTCGGGAGTGGTTGGCGGTTCAAAGACGGCGCATACACCGGCGAGCCATGTCTGCATGCGGTGACGGTTCGAGCATCCACGGTGCTCCCTTTGGTGGCATCGTGCCGCCCAGGCCAGTCTTTCGATGTGGCGACTGGGGCGAGGCAGGTCGGGCGTACTGTGTACACAGTGCATGTATACCCGAGATATCATGATCACCAACGAGTTTCAGATGAGCAGGTTTCGGGGCAAATGAATGCCGAAACGATGCAACTATCCAGACTGGAGCAAACAAACCATGCCCAGGAAAAGACACGCGCAACGCAGCGCCGGGCCCACTACTACCTACGACGACGGAGTCGTTGTTCCTACGTGAGGGAGTAGGCCGCACTGCTATTGCGGGTGCGCCTGTGCAGTGTGCGTTAATCGATGGGAAAGGTTCGGGGCCTTCGCCCGATTTATGTATTTCCTAGCATAGGGTGCTACAGATGGCGCCCGCACTTAAGAACATCTTAATTTGCGTGAGGCTGGGGTTCTTAGTTGCCTGTTGAGGCTGCGAATGGCCATTATATAGGTTTTAGTGTGAGGTTCTTAACGGGGACCACTAAAATACGCTCATGTTCATGAGTTTTGGATTTTTTGAGCCTCATGTTCTTAACAGGTAGGTTCTTAAGTGCGGGCGCCATCTGTAAGGCAATCGTCGGTACGATGCAACTATCCAGGCTGGGAGCCGAGAAAACATGGCACAGCACAGACACTCGTAACGCAGCGCCGGGCCCACTACTACTTGCAACAATGGAGCTATTGTTCCTAGGTGAGGGAGTAGGCCGCACTGCTATTGCGGGTGCGCCTGTGCAGTGTGCGTTAATCGATGGGAAAGATTCGGAACCCGCGCCCGATTTATGTATTTCCGGGCATCGGATGCTAAGGCAATCGTCGGTACGATGCAACTATCCAGGCTGGGAGCCGAGAAAACATG